GTTCTGGCTCCCTTTCCCAACCCCACCCCCCCAAGCAGTGTGGCGGTGAGACAGCTGGGAGTCTTTGCCAAGGGTGTTTGAAATAACAATTGTCTGCCAGGTCCGGTGGATCCCTGGATGGGAGGCGCAAAGCGAGCTGCCGCCCCCCCATACACCTAGGCACACCACACATGCAGCCTCCCCTATCCCTCCCCCCGTACCCACCTGCAGCCCCCCTGGAGCATGTCTGGTGACATGTCTCCTCATGGGGGTGGGGGCTAGGGGTGGACGGGGTGGGAATGTCGGGGTGGGCATGTGATGGATAGAGTGTGTTGGGGACGGGGGGTGGGGAGAAACCCAGGCAGGGGAGGGAGCAAGGAGCAGGCCCCATAGGAAAACAGAAGAAGGAGACACAGACAAGGAAGTGTGGCAGGGAACGGCGGAGCCTGACGGAAAGACGGGCACTGACAGGCGGTGGGGAGCGTGGCGGGGGAAAGGAAAAGGGATGAATTGTTAACGGCAGCAATGGGAGGGAGACAACCGAAGCGATGGCATGGGAAAGATGGCAAAGAGATGAGGGGCAGATACACACAGCGATCTCCCCTCACTGCTCTCCCCAACCTCAGACCCTGGGGATGGTTCGGTGCAATACTGCCCCCCACGGCATCTCGAATACCCTTCCCCCACCCCACACCCTTGGCCCCACCCTGACCCAGAACTGATGGGACCATCTCTCCTGCCCTCTCCCTGCCAGCGCCAGCAGAACCCGGCGCCCAGCCCAGCCTAGGGGAGCTCTCGGCCTCAGAGGTCACCCACAACTCCGCCCTGCTCTCCTGGACCGTCCAGGCCGGGGACTTCGATTCCTTCCTCCTCCACTACAAGGACGCGGAGGGCAAACTCCAGGCACTGCCCGTGGATGGAGGATCCCGCACAGTCACCGTTACCAATCTGGCCCCCTCCCAAAGATACAAGTTCAACCTCTACGGCATCTCCGGCCGCAAGCGCCTCGGGCCCGTCTCCACCGACACTGTCACAGGTCAGCAGCTGGACCCGGGGCACCAGCCCCTTTCCCTCCTGCCCCTTTTGCTTTGCAGTGTGGTGGGGACACCGACCACTGGGCTGGGACTTTCCCAAGAAGATGCTTCCAAGGAAATGAGAGAGGAGGACGAGCAAAGAAGTGAAGGCAGCAAGGACTGGAGTGTGGAAGCAGTGCAGAGGGACGAGAGCGTCCATCTATCCATTCATCCATTCACCTGTCTGTCCATCCATCCGTCCATCCACCCATCCGTCCATCCATCTGTCTGTCCATCCATCCGTCCATCCACCCATCCGTCCATCCATCTGTCCGTTCATCCATCCGTCCGTCCATCCATCCACAACTAGACTGCTGGCCATTCAATGGGCAGAGAGAAGAGAGTAGATAGGGATGGGTGGATGTATGGATGGATAGACAGACAGACAGCTGGATCAATGTGCATGGGACAGGTTGGGTAAAAGGATTAATGTGTATGGGAACAGATGGATGAACAGTTAGGTACATGGATGGATGTCTACATGGGTGGATGGATGGATGGACTGATGGAAGTCTGGGAGTGGATGGATGGACGGACAGATGGTAGGGTGCATAGCTATGTATGGGGGTGGTTGGATGGACAGAGGGATGAAAGGATGGTTAGATATGTATGGGGGTGGATGAATTGATGGACAGATGGAAGGGTGGGTAGATATGTATTGGGGTGGATGGATGGATGGACAGACGGAAGGGTGGGTAGATATGTATGGGGGAGGATGGAGGGATGGACAGACGGAAGGGTGGGTAGATATGTATGGGGGTGCATGTATGGATGGACAGACGGAAGGGTGGTTAGACATGTATGGGGGTGGATGTATGGATGGACAGACGGAATGGTGGGTAGATATGTATGGGGTGGATGTATGGATGGACAGAAGGAAGGGTGGATGGATATGTATGAGGGTGGATGTATGGACAGACAGATGGAAGGGTGGGTAGATATGTATGGGGGTGGATGTATGGATGGACAGACGGAAGGGTGGGCAGATATGTATGGGGATGGATGGATGGACAGATGGAAGGATGGGTAGATATGTATGGGGGTGTATGGCGGGATGGACAGATGGAAGGGTGGGTAGATATGGATGGGGGTGGATGGGTGTTTTGGGGGATGCACGGGTAGATGTGTATGTGTAACACTTTTGCCAGGTGGCTCCAGTAGCAACAATGGGTGGGTTGGGGGTGGTGATGCATGCTTGGACAGGTGGATGGATGGGTGCGTACAGGGATGGATGGAGGAGTGGTTGGAGATGGGTGGGTGTCAATGGGGATCTATCCATTGACGTTGGTGACTTTAGTTCATGCCCTTCTCTTTCCCTCTCGTTTGTTCTTCGTTCCATCCTCTCTCAGCCCAACTCTCCCTGAGGTTTGTGCCGGTTGATCTGGGCCAACCCCTCCAGGGGGGTGTGATGGCCACGGGGAATGTGGGATCCTCTTTGCAGACATGGCCGGTCCATTTGTGTGACCCCAGCTCTACTTCCCAGCAGCAGATGCAGCTCTGTCCTGGGGCTGGTCTCTGGGGCTCCCTGCGCCCTCGTCCCACTAATCTTCCCTGCTGAACCCGTCTGGGCAGGGACTGCCTGGCCCCCCAAGGACCTGGTCAGCCACCCTAATCCAGCCATGCCCTAACCCGCCTCTTTGATCCAGCCAAGGAGCCGCGGGTGCAGGAACTCACCTTCCAGCCCAGCCTGGGGGAGCTCTCGGCCTCTGATGTCACCCACAACTCCACTCTGCTCTCCTGGACCGTCCAGACCGGGGACTTTGACTCCTTCCTCCTCCAGTACAAGGACGTGGAGGGCAAACTCCAGGCGCTGCCCATGGACGGGGGATCCCGCACGGTCACTGTAACCAACCTGGCTCCCTCCCACAGATACAAGTTCAACCTCTACGGCATCTCCGGCCGCAAGCGCCTCGGCCCCGTCTCCACCGACATCGTCACAGGTCAGCGGCTGCTCCAGGGGCGCAGCTCCTTCCCCTCCCGCCCCCTTTGCTTTCCAGTGTGACATGGATGCCGAACACTGGCCCAGGACGTTCTGAAGAAGATGCTTCCAAGAGTCCTGCATCCACAACCAGATTGCCGGCCATTCAATGGATAGATAGGAGAATGGATGGTCATGGGTGTACGTATGTATGTCCGTATGTATGCATAGACAGACAGACAGCTGGATCGGTGTGCATGGGGCAGGTTGAGTGAATGGAATGATGTGTATGGGAACTGATGGATGAAGAGATAGGTACATGGATGGGTGTCTAAAGGAGTGAATGGATGGATGGAGGGGATGGTCATCGATGAGTACATAGAGGAATGGATGTGTATGGGGATGGATGAACAGGCAGGTGTGCAGATATATATGGGGATGGATGAATGGATGGACAGAAGGCTCAGTAGACATGCATGGGGGTCGGTAGATGGACAGACCGAAGGGTGGGTAGATATGTATGAGGGTGAACGAATTGATGTACAGACAGAAGGGTGGGTAGATATGAATGGGAGTGGATGTATGGATGGACAGACGGACGGGTGGGTAGTTATGTATGGGGGTGGATGTATGGAGGGACAGATGGAAGGGTGGGTAGATATGTATGGGGTGGATGGATAGATGGACAGACAGAAGGGTGGGTAGATGTGTATGGGGGTGGATGGATGGATGGATGGACAGATGGAAGGGTGGGTAGATATGTATGGGGGTGTATGGCGGGATGGACAGATGGAAGGGTGGGTAGATATGTATGGGGATGGATGGATGGATGGACAGATGGAAGGGTGGGTAGATATGTATGGGAGTGGATGGATGGACGGGCAGATGGAGGGTGGGTAGATATGTATGGGGGTGGATGGATGGATGGACAGATGGAAGGGTGGGTAGATATGGATGGGGGTGTATGGC